ACCTCAACTAAATCAATCAAAAACCCTTCAAAGACAGAACCTCTAGAAGAACTACTTTACCAGTTCTAGCTAAATATTATCATCCTTAAGATTTTACTCAGAAACTTAGCATGGAGAGATAAGAAGATGGATAGAAGATAGAAGGCAGATCCTTTTGAGAGTAATAGTGCAAGAATGTAACTTAGACCAAAAATTGATTATGTGACTAACCAAGAGAGGAAAATTATTAAATAAGGAGCATTCTACTTGATTAAACAATTAAAGATTGAACAACTAATATAATTGGATGGTTAAACAAATTCTTCTAAGTTAAGAACTTAGACTATTGTTGTGAGAAATTCAATTAAAACTCCTGAAATTTTGAGCCAATAAGAAGCATTAACACAGACCAGGCAGCTCCAGGAAGTACAAAAAAATTTCAGTATTCACATGATTCCCTCTCCTGATCCAGTTTTATTCCTCTTAAATGGTGCAAACACTTTATTTTAAAAGTGGTCAGGTATGAAGAGTCCAAAAATTCTGTTCTTTCTTTTAAAAAAAATCTGTTTTTTTTCTCAAAAGCAGCAAATCTGTATTTTTTCTTCAAAAAAGAAAACTGCAGTTTTTTTTCCAGAAACAACAAAAATGCAGCTGTGCAAGGCCTGGTATAAGGAAAGTTAAAGATGCAGAAGTGTATTAAGGTCTGAAAATCAGATTTATAACTCCTGGTGCCAAATATGTTCTTATAAAACTATACCCTTCCTTATGATTTAGAATGAAATCAACTGCAGCTTGTTTAAAAACAAATCAGTGCTTTTTTTTCAAATTAAAGTGCAGATTTTTTTAGTTAGAAAAAAAAACTAAAGGTTTCATGGATCCAAGTGCTAAGAAATAGCTGCACACCCCCACACTTAGGCTATGCACTGTCCTCAGGGCATGTTATGCTAATTGAATGAATGAAAGCTTAAAAATGATCCTAAACTAAATGCAAAGAGTATGCAAGGAAAATTAAAAAAAAAAATTGAATATAAAAGAAAACTTAAATGTAACTAAAATGCCTGTTTTTTTTTTGTTTTTTGTGCTGGGTTGCCTCCCAGAAGGCTGCCCTGTTTAGTAGTCCTGGCTAGACTTTACTGCCGCATCTCATGGCTCCTCGAGGAAGATGTCCTCGACCTTAGCAACCTGCTCACCTTGGTGATACACCTTCAATCGGTGCCCATTAACTTTAAAAATCTTATTAGTATTGAAATCTCTAATTACCACAGCCCCATGAGGAGAAGTTTCTAACACTTCAAAGGGTCCAAGCCATCTCGACCTTAACTTTCCCGGAAACAAATGCAATGTAGAGTTATATAACAGCACTTTGTCACCTATGTAAAAGTGTTTCCTAGTGAGTTTTGCATCGTGAAAGGCCTTAGCTTTACCCTTATAAATTACAGAGTTGTCATAAGCTTCAAGTCTTATTTCTTCTAACTCTAAAAGTTGCAGTTTTCTCTCTTTTCCAGCTGCATCATAGTCTAAGTTAACTTCCCTAACAGCCCAATAAGACCTATGTTCAATTTCAACTGGTAAATGACAAGCTTTTCCAAAAACCAACCTATAAGGTGACATCCTAATTGGTGTTTTATAAGCTGTCCTATATGCCCACAAAGCCTCATCTAACCTTAAACTCCAATCCTTCCTATCAGGTTTAACGACTTTTTCCAAAATGTGCTTAATTTCCCTATTAGATATTTCGGCTTGACCATTAGTTTGAGGGTGATAAGCTGTGGAAATCCTTTGGGTTATGTGATATTTTGAAAATAGAATCTCCAAAGTTTTATTGCAAAAGTGTGTTCCCCCTTTTTTCGGTACGACATGAATTGGACTTACCCACTCTGAATTAGCTATGGGATATATGACTCCTGCTTGAATCCATTTTAAAAGTTCTTTCTCAACTACCTCCATCATAGGAGGATTAAGTCTTCTTTGATTTTCAACTCTTGGTTTCGCATCAGGTTCTAGACTTATCCTATGACTACACAAAGTTGGGTCAAGACCCTTAATGTCGGCTAAAGTCCAGCCTATGGCCTCACTGTGTTCCTTTAAAACTCTCAATAACATTAATTCTTGTGGTTCAGTTAAAAGATTTGATATGATCACAGGAAGTGTTCCATTTTCACCCAAAAAAGCATATTTAAGATGAAGAGGCAACTCTTTAAGTTCAATTTCAGGTGGGGAAATCAAAGAAGGAAGTGGTTTTGTCTTAGGGATTTCCAAATTCAGTTTTAACCTCTTCCACTGAGGACAAATTTTCAGCATAAAAGCAAACATCATCAGGAAGTGAAAAATTTAATTTTTCAATCTCAAAAGGGTCTAAACTTTCAGTTAAAACAGTGTACAGAGCATCATCATTTGATTTACTGAAAACTTCTTCAGTGATTTTATCAATTACATCCATAGCAAAGACTTGATTCTCTTCATGAGGGTGTTTCATTGCTTCAGAAAGACTAAATTTAATTATCTCACCATCAAACTCCATTGTTAAAGTACCCCCGTGAACATCAATTTTAGCCCGGGCTGTTTTCAAAAACGGTCTTCCCAACAAAATGGGAATGTCGGTTTTATCAACTCCCATATCTAGAATGTAAAAATCAGCATGAAAAATGAAGTCATTTACTCTAACCAAAACATCCTCTAAGATCCCCTCGGGGTAGGTGTGACTCCTATCTGCTAATTGGATCACTACCCCTGTTCTTTTTAGGTCTCCAATGTGGAGTTGTTCAAAAATGTCCTTGGGCATCACATTTATTGAAGAACCTAAGTCTAGCATTGCCTTGTCAAATTTTAAACTCCCTATCTGACATGGAACAGTAAAAACTCCAGGATCCTTACATTTTTGGGGTAATTTATTCTGAAAAAC